AAGAAAATTAACTCTATCCCAGCTGAAACCAGGACATACGTACAGCAGGATGCTGTGCTCTTTAACGGGAATCTGGCCAGTGATTGTGTTTGCAGGGAAAGTAGAGGAAACAGCCATCCGGCTGCTCCCGGTGGTCCCGGTGCTTTGGGGAGGGGGAGGCACAGGGAGTGGGGAGAGGTGTCCCCTCAGGGAAAGCGGCGGCAGAGCCAGCTGCAGTGTCCAGGGGGAAGCGGGGCACATGAGGGTGGTGCCCGGCGCCAGTGACCTGCAGCTCCGCTCCCTGCTGTCCCCTCTGCCTCCAGCAGCACCTGTGCTGGGGGACAGGCGGGACAGGATGGGACAGGTTGGGGTCACTTCCCAGGCCGCTGCACGCCAGAGAGACAATGGCCAGCCAGTTTTTCCAGGATGCCGTACTGCTAAAGGATTCAGCTGTTTCTCTCTTGCCTGCAAAGTGTTTCTTTTCCTTTATAGCTTCTTAAGAAACAATAAAATGAGCAGGATGCGAAGCGCCTCCCGTCTCATTCAAATTTTGCTGCCAGGGCAGAATTTGCAGTCGTGCAACTGTGTAAAAGTTAAACCATAGTATATATTCCTTCATATAACATTTTTGTTTTACCAAAATATTTATGGAAGATGATATTATTTGAGAATTAAAATCTAATTTCCCCTTTTTTTTTCCCTAGAAAATGTTTTGGGATGCCTACTATGGTAAGCCGGCCTTTTGATTTCTTTCCTTAATAGCAGCGTCACACTATGAACATTATGATTCAGTCCAGTGCTGGTTTTCTGAGAGTTTTTAGCAATTTATTCTACAAGGAACGCCCAGTCACTATTTGGCATGTCTGTAGTAAAGCAGGAGGAAAAGTCTTGATGTGAAAGGATTAAAAAAGTCATAAATAAGAAAAAACATTTAAGACTGGAAGGCGAATAAAAGTTGAAGGTGAGTAGATGTGTCGTGGTTTAGCCCCAGCCAGCAACTCAGCACCACGCAGCCGCTCGCTCACTCCCCCTACCCCGATGGGACGGGGGAGAGAATCGGAGGAGTAAGAGTGAGAAACACTCCTGGGTTGAGGTAAGAACAGTTTAATAATTGAAATAAAGTAAAATAGTAATGATAATAGTAACAGTATAATAATGATAATAATAATAATGATACACGAAGCAAGTGATGCACAATGCAATTGCTCACCACCCGCCGACCGATACCCAGACAGTTCCCGAGCAGCGATCGCTGCTCCCCGGCCACCCCCCCCCAGTTTATATACTGAGCATGACGTCATATGGTATGGAATAGCCCTTTGGTCAGTTTGGATCAACTATTCTGGCTGTGCCCCCTCCCAGTTTCTTGTGCGCCTGGCAGAGCATGGGAAGCTGAAAAAGTCCTTGACTAGCATAAGCAGTACTCAGCAACAACTAAAAACATCAGCGTGTTATCAACATTCTTCTCCTACTAAATCCAAAACAGCACTATGCCTGCTGCTAGGAAGAAAATTAACTCTATCCCAGCCGAAACCAGGACAAGATGTTATCACAGTAAATAAATTATTCCTTTTCCTGAACTTAAGGCTGTACTGAAACAACCTGGGACCTAAGAAAATCTGCTTTGCTGATACAATAGAGCAGCAGAGCTTTACCAGCAAAACCTCCCAAATACAAACCTAGCACTTAAACCTGAGCGAGATAAATAGGTGTTAAAAGCTGCTGGGCTGTCTGCAAACTCTGGAAGCTGGCACTGCACCATCCCTTGGCTGCTGTCAGGGCAAGAAACAAATCTATAAAAGCTGAGAGGCTGATGTAACTAGGTGCCTCCTGAACAAGGAGTCTGGGGCACCAGCTTATGGTGACTATGCCTTATTCCCTTCCTCTTTTCTGCATGCCGCGTCCTAAGATTTTCTCTTGTTTTTTTACTCAGCTTTTATTCATTTCTAATGTTAGGTTTAGACAGTGGAGAAGGAGGTGGCAAAACCAGCAGTCAGTATTATTTTTCTGCAGAAGCCACTAAAACACTGAGTCCAGGGAATCGTTACATAGAAGAATCCCAGCGGTGGTATAAATGTTATGAAAAATGATGCTAAATATCTGGCCTTTCATTACTTCTGTGAGGGTGGGATTAACTTCTCCTGATTTCAGTCATTGAGTGTTTGTACTACGCATGTCATGCAGGCTCCCTCTCTAGTCTATGACGAGAGAAGGGCAACTGGTTGAGAGTGGTCCATCCAAACAAGCTTAGCCACAATCAGGATTCATTAGTGGCTTCAGCCTCAGAGGTGGCTTACTTGCCATAATTAAAAAGCATTATGTCCTGTCGTCTTCCTACAGAACAGCAGTGTGTGTTTCCTTCTTTGTGATATCTTTTCTAACATTTTGAAGAGTGTTGCCGTGCATCTCCATGTCTTCTTTTCTCCTCACTAAACAAACCCATTTTTTCATCCTGTCTTCCAAAAATCTTGTTTTCTAGACCTCTGGTATCCTTGTTGCTTTCCTTCCATAGTCCAGGGTACAGTGGGTAAATCTGCACTGTGAATAAAAGAGGGCTGGGGAGAAAGGCTGAGCACCCACCTAACTGCTGGCTCACCCTTCGGCTCAGATTTGTACTGCTCCACCTTGGCCTCTTCAAGTCAAAGCTGATGTAGCGGCATCTTGCTCTAGCATGGATGTATGCTGTCAGGGCACTTGGCCTGAGGTCACACTTGTCCCTGACCCTGTTTTATTAACAGTATAAACTTAGCTATTGATAACCTCTCTTTAAACATAATTTTCCAAACATTTTTGTGCATGCCTTATAGTTGTCTCTGTTTTCCTAGCTCACTTAATGACAGTCAGCTGAGACATTTCTATTCTATGATGTTTGCTGATTCCTCACTAGGTCCCTTATCCTGTAATACAACTAGATTTAATCGGTTTGGATTATTTGATCTTGAAAAATGCCTGTTGGTTGTTACTTACCACCTTCTTATTTTGCTGGGTGCTTACAGACAGGTTGATCATTCCAGTAGCTTTCCAGTAACAGAAATCGTGCTGATTTCTCTATAATTCCTTGAATCTTCTCTTTCCTCCTTTAATAAAGCAAGGTTTACTTTTTTCCCAGTCTTACAGAACCTCATCTGACCCAAGACCTTTTTTTGACACTTTCTTACCTGTATTTGAGCATGTATTTCAGAGGCTTGAAACCATCTAACTTGCTTCAGGCTGTAGGTGCAGCCCTTCTCTAGCTCCAGCTACCCACCACTGCTGCTGGAGGTCCTCACTCCTCAACTCTACCTGCTCTGCTGTGCGGATGAGACCCCCCCAACCCACCCAAAAACCCTCCCAGGAGACCTAAATTGTGCCAGGGTATGCTGGTGGCATCTGACTGCAGGTGGGCTGCAGGTGGTAACTGCATTAAACCAGTATTTTAGTACCGCTAAAGCTAGAAGATACACATGCCTATAACCTGAGCAGATGGTAGTTAGGTTTTTTTCCCCAGTACCAGGCAAAGTTTTCACCTTTCCATCCCTGATATCAATTATGGCAGCCCGCTGACTGAAGTTAACCTCTCTGATGAAGTGTTAAATTTTAGAAAGTTTGGAGAGCATGTCCCCAGTTAGGCTTTTCTGGCTTGCTCCCTGACCGCTCATCACCATAATAAGCAGTTATTTGGAGAACATTTCCAGACTGGTTTGGAGTGTTTCCAGTGGGCAGCTCAAGCGGGAAACTTGCAGCTCTGCATGGTGCTTCACCTGTAGTGAGGCATCCTCTGGTTTCAACGGTCGGTTCATCAGAAAGACTAAGCTTGCTAGTGTCCAGTCTGCTGTATAACAGTTGTACGGATGTGTAAAAGCTAGATTTCCTCCTAGTTTGATGTTGCTCACTGTATAATTTTGGTGCCAGGTTTTTTTATTCATATATGCATGTAATGATTTTTTTATCTGTATGCGTATTGGCCTAACATGGGAGACCTAAAACACCAGTCTCATTACATTTGTAATGAGCACATGCACTGTAAGTCAGTGCTTTTCCGTGAAGCAGCATGTCCATCCTCCAGAAGTGGGCTCTGCCTTTTGGGCACCTCCCGGCCTCCCTGCCAGGGGCTGCAGGAACACCTCTGGAAGCAGAGACTTGAGCTAAAATTACTCCCGAGGAGCAATTCAGTGAGACGTAGCCCATTTCCTTCCAAACCGCTTTTTGCAATGCTTCTCTGAGCGGCTCACATGCTGGGAAGGGGGCTGTGTAATTCGGGTCAGCGGTGGTGGCGACTCGTCCCTCTCTTGCGGCATTTCTGCAGGTGGCCGGAGGTGCTCATCGAGCCCCTGCCAGCACAACGGCGTGTGCGAGGACAGCATTCGCAGCTACACCTGCACCTGTGCCGAGGGCTACGAGGGAGAGAACTGTGCTTTCGGTAAGGCGTCGCCCCTCTTCTGAGAAGCCCCATCTCTCCTGTCGTAGGGGGTCCCCAGGAACCCGTACGCAGCGCTCCCGTTAACAGCCAGTTATCAGTTTTTTAGGTAAAACACACAGTACTTGGCAGAGCAGGGGTGATTTGGGCTGCCTGTCTACCGAAAAGTTAAGGCATCCCGAGGTTATGCAGGCTGGCCGAGCCTCCCTTCTGGGGACGCAGCGGAAGGGCTGAAGCAAGCCCCCCTCACGGGTGGGCTCCAAAAGCAGCCCTCCCCCCTGCCACCCACGCTCCCCCGCTGCTTCCCAGCCACCCCGGTGCCTCCGAGGCCGCATGCACCCGCGAGACAGCCCCTCAGGACGGGGGGACTGCAGAAAACAAACCGTTCTCCGTGGAAGTGCAAAAGGCGTAAAGCAAAATGGACGCTTTCTGGCATGTAAAACACCCTGGGCCAGATCCTACATTTTTACATCTGCCAGGTTCTACTTTCCAGCCCTTACATCAGTATTTCTGCTGGCTCGGAGGTCCCCCGGGGCAGGAGACGCCCTGGCTGCCACAAGGCAGGGTCATTTTCTGTGTAAGGGGTGTGAGTGGACAGAGGCAGAGCAGCTTCTTGGGGAGCCCAGAAGGTGACACAGCTTGGACCAGCACTGCGGACTGGATCTGCTCAGCACGAGCCTTAGAGAGCGACTTTATGTAGGGGTTTTTTCCTACTTCTCCATCTGTGAGCTAGATCCACCATCAAACGGCTGTTCCTCCTGTTTCTTTGTGCTTGTCGCGGTTTAGCCCCAGCCAGCAGCTAAGCACCACGCAGCCGCTCGCTCACTCCCCCTGCCCCGGTGGGATGGGGGAGAGAATCGGAGGAGTAAGAGTGAGAAACACTCCTGGGTTGAGATAAGAACAGTTTAATAATTGAAATAAAGTAAAATAGGAATGATAATAGTAACACTATAATAATGATAATAATAATGATATACAAAGCAAGTGATGCACAATGCAATTGCTCACCACCCGCCGACCGATACCCAGACAGTTCCCGAGCAGCGATCGCTGCTCCCCGGCCAACCCCCCCCCAGTTTCTATACTGAGCATGACGTCATATGGTGGAATAGCCCTTTGGTCAGTTTGGGTCAGCTGTCCTGGCTGTGCCCCCTCCCAGTTTCTTGTGCACCTGGCAGAGCATGGGAAGCTGAAAAGTCCTTGACTAGCATAAGCAGTACTCAGCAACAACTAAACCATCAGTGTGTTATCAGTATTATTCTTATCCTAAATCCAAAACACAGCACTATGCCGCCACTAGGAAGAAAATTAACTCTATCCCAGCCGAAACCAGGACAGTGCTGAAGCTTAAGTGTTTGCTCAGCTACGGAAAGTTGACTGAGCATGTTTCAAAGGTGATTAATACTCACTTTCTTTTTTGTTTATCTTTGGCAGCTGTTAATTTCAATTTTCTTAGCACAAGCATGAGAAATAGAAGCTATGCATTTGTTTTCTGAAAAGCAGAAAGCTTTAGCCTTTTCCTTCCTCAAGCAATACCTGCCTTCTTAACATGTGCAACGGTCCCCCCCAGTGCAGACACTGAATGTTTCATTTAAAAGAGCAGAAAGAAAACCCATGGTGTCCTTCCATGGGTTCACATGGAAAGTCTAGTTTGACCCTTGGCTACTAACATTCCCCAAAACTCAGAGGTGCAAAACAGTCCCGTGCAGGGAGGTGCTGAGTGAGCACAGCTTGCAACAAGTCTGTGGAAGCTGCAGAGAGTCGGCTGTCTCCAATTTCTGCTTAACAAGGGGAAAAAACAGTGTGGTGGGAAGCACTACCAAGCCAGAGTCCCTACCCACCTCCACATAAAGCAAGTAAACATAAAATACTTAGTAAAGAGGACTCAAGTTATGTCAGAAAACCCCAGCTGAACTGTTCCTAATGCTTGTTCTGTTTAGCTAAAAATGAATGTCGCCACCAAGCAAAAGAAGGATGTCACCACTTCTGCTACCCGGGAAGTAATTCCTACCGTTGTTCCTGTGCTGATGGCTATGAGCTCGGGAAGGACAAAAAACAGTGCATCGCGTTAGGTAGGTGTGAGCATGGAAGTACGGGGTGCACACGCTCAGTGCTGGGGTGGGCAGGCCACCATCTGATACCCAGATGTGATCAACCTGCTTGGAGACTCAAGTGATGAGAATATTACTGACCTTCCAAACTGTGCAGAAAAAGGAGGAATCTAGGGACCACCACCCAAGATGACAGAGCAGTGGAAAAAGAAGCAATATTTGATCAGAACATTTAAATGTGGGCCTGCAGAGAGGACTTGCATCATCCTACATATCACTCACTAGGCCAGGTTTTACACTCGGTGAAGAGTAACTCCAATGAAGACCTGTCTGTTTGGGAATGAGGTTCAATTGATTCCGATCAGGCACCTGACGGTCTGATAAACGAAGGGCAACATTTGCTGCTGTGTTAATTAGTTTGAAGCAGTAGCCCTCTTCATTTTTCTAATCTCATACTAGGTATCTCATTCGATCTCATCGCCTGATAAACTAGGTCTACTAAAAAACACGGTAGTATACTTAGGCCCTCGTCTATATTAGCAAGTAGAGCAGCCAAATAGGAGTTGAGCTGTAGAGCCACACTTTTGGTGATGAGGGCTTGATGTCCACACTCAATACACGTTTCAGGTGGGCTTTACTTCAGACTAGCTCTAGTTTGGTCCTGTGGACTAAGCACCCATTCAGCTATGAGAGTAGGTTCAGTGTGCTCCTGGAGGGCATCTTCTGGTTTAGCTTCACCTGAACAGAATTCAGTTTGTGTGACCCAAGACCATGCCACAAGGTGAGCAGGAAGCGTGACAAATGCAGATAACTGGGGGATCCACTTGAAAAGCGCGCTTGCTGTCTGGACGAGAACACAAAGGAATGCACATCTCTAGAGTGACGCTTTAACAAGGAAAACCCAGGATTACCTTGTCCTGATCGGGCCACAGCTATCAGGTATTTGGCGCAATTCAGATACAGGATGCAAAGATGAGGAAGCAAGCTGTGGTGATGGTTGGCTGGAGAGGAAGCCTCATTTCATTACAGACACAATGAAATCTGTGTCACCACAAGCCTAACGCAATGACCCAAAATGTTCAGCACCATCGCTAAGCTATTAGACTACAGATGCCTGGCAAATTATTCCAATACTCACCAGCTGAGATATTGTCCTTTTCCTTGGTGCAAAAAACAAACCCCAAAGTCAAGGCAGAAGCAATAAGGTATTTGCAGGTATTAGTTGTCTTGAAATGATACAGCATGAGGTTTTGATTTTTTTTCTTTTTTAAATTCATTTGCTAGATCAATGTGCATGTGGGAGACTACGAGACAGTGATAATCTGATAAGTGAAACCAGGAAGAAACGTGACGAGCGATTTCCTTGGCAGGTATTTCCAGCAATTCAGGAAACCTATCACTCAACCTCACATGGACAGTGCTATGTATCATCTTTCTGCATTTTCTTAGGTCCTGCTGCTAGACTCGGAAGGGAAGGGCTTCTGTGGAGGAGTGCTGCTGAAGAGTAATTTTGTACTGACTACAGCAGAGTGCGCCCTTCTGCACAGCCAGTTTGAAATCAGGGTCGGTGCTGGTAGGTGTTCACATTTTCTCTTGTTGGAGCGTATTTTAGTATCGACAAACTAATCTTAAAAAACCTAAAATTTCTGCTGCATAAAAATATTGTTAAAGGAAACAAACCTGCTGTCATCTCATTTAAGCATCTCAGTTAAGCAACTTGGGCTAGAACTACAGCTGTCCCACACCCCTCTACAAGGCAAGCAGAGAGACAACTACTTCTCAAACGCAATTCACAACTCAGCACCTAGGGATAAACTAAACTGGGTAGATTTAGAGGTGGGTCCCCCCCACACCCCAAGGAAAAAAGTTTCATGCCAAAATTTACTTCTCTTAGTTGGGTATTCGTCCTTCCCTCTGCAATTATGCATTATAAAGCTGCCAAGATACCATTCCTAGTTTACTTTTACTGCAGCTGTTTCAAGAAAGAGCGCCTTTAGTTTCTCTACAGCACGTAGTTCTCAGCATGACTAGGCAGCTGTTGTCAGTTTGCATGCAGTTTTCAGGTCTCTGATAAATTATTCCTAAGAGCAGTGAAATGTCATTGCTTCACAGGGCGTAATGGAACAAGTGGAACTGAGAAGATCATGCAAGTTAATGAGAAACACATACACATCCGGTATGATGAAGACACTGGTGAGAACAACATTGCATTACTACAACTCCAAGAGCACATTGAGTGCAACAACCACCAGCTTCCTGTATGCATCCCTGAAAGAGACTTTGCAGAACACATTTTAATTCCAAAATTGGCTGGCACAGTCAGTGGCTGGAGAATGGATGGTGATGAACTTCAAGGTGATGAGTTGCAGGTTTCATACCTTCCTACTGAGGACTGCAAACAAATACTCAACATAAGCCTCACAAACAGGCAGTTTTGTGGACACCTCCAGGAGGCCGTAGACAAACGACTGGCTGGAGGAAGCTTTCTAGCTACTGAGTATAAGGGCACTTGGTTTCTGACTGGTATCCTGGGATCTTGGCCACTAGAAGACGCTGACTGGGAAACATTTCTATTCACTAACACCGCGAGGTATATGATATGGTTTAAACAAAAAATTAAATAAGACACAAACACAACCAACCCCCCCAGCACCAACCCTCTACCAATCACTTCAAGGAAACATTTGGATGCAGCCAGTACACCCATTTGACTCTCTATCACAATCTGCAGCAATGGAAGTTGCAACAATAATACGTATGTAACTCCAATTCATACGGAAAAGCCCGTTTGCCTTTCCTTCTGTTGACGCACAGTACCGTGAAGTCATGATGCAGTAAACCTAGTTATTTTACTAAAAACTGACTGAACTTTACGTTTCCTAGAACTGTTCACCCTAAAACTCAAAAAGCATTGATGTTTTTCTGGGCTTTTAAATGTTGCTCGAAGGAAATGAGTCTTTTTAATTCTTGTTACCGTGAGGTTTGATTCAGCAAATTCATATTCTTATTTCAGCATCCATACAAGTAAAACCTATGAAGACCAGAGGAACTCCAAGCCTTTAAATGTGTATGTTGATGTAGGACTTGACACTGTCATCACACTAAAAAATGCTTCCCCTCATACACGGTATCTGTGTTTTCCCTTATGAATCATGTCCACGTCAGTTAGTGGGTAAAATAAAACCCAACTCTCAAAGACGGGAAAACAATGGTTTATTTCCTTTAAAAATAATTAAGAAAAACCCCAAACTACCATCCCATCACTATGGACAAAGTTACATTGTACCACCCCCAAACAAACAAAACCCCCAAGACAGTAACACTTAAAATAATGGATCCAGTGGCAGTGTCTTCCCCAGAAGCAGAATAAACAGAGTATGGATAAGTTACTTAGATAAGCTTTTGTTCATCATGACAAAAAATGAAACAAAATATTACCAGAATCAAAAAAACCCAAACCCATCTGTGGGTACCTACAGACAAAAATCCCACATTTACTTGCACCCGTAAGTATCACTGACACAGTAAAGCTTTTAGTGTCAAGCACTTCTCTAGTTTTTAGAGACGGCTTGAAGAGAGTATTTAATACCAGCAAGATTATTGAAGAGACCTAAAAAAAAAAGGAAACCATGAGAGAAAACATTATTTCCACTCTGAAAAATGGATTAATACAAGTAACAAAGGATGATACTTCTCCTCTCTAAAAGATAAATGCAGAAATAGTAACACAAAGTACTTCATAAAAAGCTTTAAGTAGTTTGGAAGGAATTTGGAATGCTTTGCTTTATTTCCTCATTAAATACTGTGAATGATGTAGACAGCCTGCGGAAACTATCATTGAAAAGTCAGCATTTCATTCCAGCGCACTTTGTAACACTGGCAGCCTTGGTCATTCTGGGAAAGGAGCCACAAACAGTTCCTGGTATTCCAGTCCTGGACACGAACCACGTCATTTACAATGTTCTCAGGGCGATTAGGAGCAGCTCCACCGGGCAAACTGAGTATCTGAAAAGTACTTGCATGGATAAGATGCAATACTCAACACACTGTTGACAGCGGAGGAAATGGGTTCTGCTTACTGACCACAAGCTTTTGATGCTGATGAGATATATAGCCTTTAATGTGACCCTGGCAGAAGGGGAAGACAACAGCGTTAGTACTGGAAGCTGGCAACACAACGCCTATAACCTCAGCTGGTTCAGTCTACATCAAGCAAAGCTATGTGTGTACTATACTCAATCACCACTGCACTATTGTACTTAGTAGTGCAAAGATCCAATTTATGTAAGTGGGTCAACTCACAGAGTAAGCAGAAAGTTGGAACCATAACCATGTTTGCATGCTAACGGCACGCTCAGACTGAGAGCCTGTTGCCAGGGCCCCCTACTGGTCTGCTTACATTGCCTTGAAGAGACAAGAGCACTGCAGAAGTGTTTCTAAATTCACTCTTGCTCACTTTAAAATGAGGATTTTAATTAATCACTATTCCAAACCTAATAAACTAAATGACATAGTACTTCCTTTCCAGACATGTAGTGTTGTAACACTGAAAGAAATCTTCCAGTCACCTAATCTCACCCTGTTATTCCAAGACCCCACCAAATAACGTTTTGGAAACAGAGAAGGAAGTGGTTCATTTTCTTGCTGACACTGCAATGCTGCTCCAAACCCTCCAATTTATTAGAAGTCTCTTGATTTCAAGGCTTTATCTGTTCATGAGTTGTTGAGATCCATTTAGAGTAAAAGACAAAATGTGAAACAAAACCAAAGAAATGTGGTTTTAACTTTTTCTAATGTTAGAATGTCAAGAGTCTGCTACTTCAAATGCAGAAGAACAAATACCTTTTGGTCCCAGTTACAATTTTTGTATTTTTAAATCAGTATTTATGCATACATAGAGGTGTCAATACTGGATTTGTAATGTAAAATTCAACTTCAGTTTTAACTGATTCCTGCAAAAGAGGCAGGAACTAGAGGAACTCCTCATGGCAAATGAAAACATTTCACTTTGGGCACAAGTGAATCAACTTTTTTACACAAGGAAACCTGGGATTACTGATATGTTTGTTGTAATAAACTTTTGTTCTCTACCAAACATTTTTTACTGTCTGAAGTCTGGAAGGACCAAACAACAAGTGGTCAGCACATACCATATATATAAGGTTAGCTAAAATGCACTGGACTTCATCAATATCAACATCGTCTACTTGCATGAATTTCAGGGCAAACAGAAAGGCATCCAGGGACAGCTGATGGGTTTTTAGTAGTAAATATCTGAAAGAAACAACAGAAAAAATTGTTATTGAGAAACAGTCACTTAAAAATTCTGGTTCTTAGAAAAATGGCCTTTCTACAATAAATTCACTTTAACAGGAATTCAACTCTCAGAGAGAACCAAGGAGCATATACATTTCTACCTCAGTCCTAGGTGAAACCATATTGAATCTGCTTTTGCAAAAATGTAGGTTTTGTTATGCTTACACTTTCTTAAAGAGATTTCTGTACGTGATGATTTTCAGCTTCTCAAGGATAAGAAAGATTCCACATCGAATAAAGAAGGTCTCATGCTTTGTCAGAGCGTCATTCAGTAGGAGAAGATTGCCTTCGCTACAAGGATGAAGAAATGAAAATGTGAGAAGGTCTCACCCAGCAAGAAAAGACATTGTCTGACTTTGTAGGAATATCCCTCCCCTGCCTCACTCATTCATCCCAAATAAACACCTTTTACTTAATACTTTTTGAACTAACACACAACACAATAAAATAATCATCATACCTCACAGCCTTTGTTACTTCAGCAAACTGCATAAGGTCATACTTTTTTAAGAGCTGAACTGTTGGCATGTGGCCCTGAAAAATAAACGGTTTCCAAGTTTCCAGGATAAAGTCAAATGCATTTTAAATGTAATCTAGTAAGCTATAAAAACATTTGTTAGATAAAAAGACAAATGTTTAGCCACTTTTTTTTTCTGCAGAACAAGAGGTGAATAAAAGCATTTGTAAGACAAGCCCCCTGCCCCCGCCAAACACCTTGTAGATCAACTCATGATAACTACCTATTTATCATGGTTTAGGGAGTCTCTTAATATTTCTTAATGTTGGGTAACAGTCATCAAACTTGTAAAATCAAGATCCTGTGACACGAGGCCTAGGCAGATCCAAATTTTATGTCATGGCTGTATGATCTAATCTGCAAACAGAAGAACGGTGGGAATCCCAAGCATTACTAATAATACAAGCAGTGCTTCAGCACTGTCAAGTGCTAGCGCAGCCTCTACCAGATTTTTTCTTCACTATGCCTCCATGCGGAAATAAAAATGTGCTCTCAAAAAAACAAAACAAAACAGAAAAGAGAGAGAAAGTTTAAATTTAAAGAAAAAAACCTAATTCAGTCAGGTAAGACTGAACCACCTGTGCTATCAAAAAGAAACTTGTTTTTTCCCCCCCTGCACAGCAGAGATCAGATTGCACACTGACTTGGGTCAGACTTTAAATTTAGTTACCATCATGCTATGCTGTTGGTAACTCCTTTCCTGGTTGGAGGATTAGCTGAGAGCAGAACTCAGCTGCATGGTTACCGAGAGCTGCTAGGAATAAAAAAAAACATCCAAGCTATTTTAGTACAGTTTAAGGTTAGTGTTAATGTTTGGGCTCTGATTAAAAAAAGCAACTGTAAAAACAATGACCTTTATCTAGTTTCTTTAGTGCCTCTTGTACACTAGAACTGCTGCAGAAAAGCCACAGTAATTCTAAGCACTATTGGACCCACCAGCTCAAGGCACCCAGTCACGACCAGGACAAAGTTTTTGGGAAGACTGTTAGTTTTCCTTTATCAGCCCTACTATTGGTTGATCTGAAAACAACCAGTAAGAAAGTAAATAAATAAAAAATGAAAAACAGAAGCCAATTATACCCACTATGCTTCCCCTTTAGCCACCTGACACTGCATCGGACTGGAAAGGGAGCAGTGAATGAAAAAGGGAGGACAGTCATAAACAGATTGGGGCAAAGGTGAAAGATGGCAACTCACAGAAGCAGGTGATAACAACATTCTCCATGGGTTAACATTGGTAATAGGGCCAGGAACAGGAAAGTCTAAAATCTAGTTCTTGTCCCCTCAGTTACACTGAATTAATTGTTAGCATAATCCCACTAACTCATGGATACACAAATGCCAGCACAGCACATGGGAAAGGACAGGAACAAGCAGCAGAGATGTGCTTAATTCTTTTAATAGAAAGATGAAATGATCAAAAAGTAACCAGTCTTCACTGATTGGTTCAAAAGCAAAATGCTGTACTTCATGACCCTTCTGACATGCCTTGAGTGGGCAAATGTACAAGGTGCAAACAGAAAACCCAAAGACAGGAATCCCTTCTCTTGTGTGGCAAGCCACCCTCAACAGTCTTCAGCCATCTGTTTGCAAATCCTCCTTCCCTTCACCAGGTGAAAGAAGCAGACAGATTTGTACCAGTGAATCCACACACTCCCTGGCCTATCTGTGCACTTAATCACCAGACAGGCGCTCTGCTATATGACGTAAGTTACATTGTTAAGTGCCTCTCCAAAGAACTCAAAAGTTATCTTTACTACAGAAGTGACCTCAGGTTGCACCTTTAGGAGGGGTGGGAGGCAGGTAGGGGAAAAGCAGGGTGTTTTTTGGGGTTTTTTTTTTTTGTCTGGTTAGGTTTTTTTCCCCCCTTTCTCCTTTCCCATGTTGCTACAAATGACAATTCAACATTTTTTGTCCTCACACAAGAACGTGTGCATATGCTGGCTTTT